CGTCATAATGAGCTTTCTTTCCGGATCCGATTATGAGCTAATCAACTCCTACAACCTTAAAAAAAGCAAAACAAAGAAAAAAAAAATCACAACGATCCACGGTCAACATGAAAGCGAAAAAGAAACACATCATTTGACTTCTGACGATCTTCATCATCGATTCGACCTGGTCATCACCAACCATCAAAACTCCGTCAATCGCGAAAAAATGTCATCCGCCGACGCACGCCTGGTCTGTCCTTTTTTATATTCGATAATCGCATAATTAACGCACAAAATTCCTCCTGCCGTTCGCTTACGTTCCTTCCTCCGTACGGGTCGCTCTACAGTTATACTACCGCAAGATCTTGTGAAAGATTTGATGCATCTGCGATCACGAGACGCGGGTTCCCCCTTTTTCTTCACTCCAATTCTTCTCTTTCCTTTTCCAAATCGCTCTGTCGCCATACCATCGTCTTCCCCCGCCCCACGAAAAAGGGGGAGTTTCTTTTTTACCTCCTGGGCTTGTTCTGGGGCGGTTCTGCTTGTCCCAGGTACGCATGCATCACGACCCAGATGCGGTTATGGCTTTGTTTAGCTCGTCCTGAATCTGCAGGATCAGTGTGGCTTTTCTTGCTGGTTGGGAGGTTGTTTTCGAATTGTGGGTGTCTTGTGTTTTTCATTCGGGTGTGGCTTTTCGGTATCTGATTGAGAATGTGAGAATTTTGGTGCTTTGTTTTGATGTGGAGGAAGCGAATCCAATCTTTGCTTCTGGGTTCAATGTAAGATTTTCTGTTGTGTGGTACCTACGCATGCCCACTCATATGTGGAAACCCAATAGCGACTCCTGATATCTGATGTGGGTTTCACTCGATGATGAGGTTCTATCTTTGTTTAACTAAATCAAGATTTATTTTTGGAGCTGGAGGCGATGTTCATTTGGTGTTTCAGATTCAGCAGAAATTTCTCGCCCTTGATTTTCTTCGAGGGGGGGTTCGATTAAATTTTAGAATACTTTTAATATGCAAAATGGAAGAATTTAATTCATGACGAACAGTTTACATGAGATGCATATAGGTAGAATGTTTAAAACCGGATTGTCATCATGTGACCTGAACATTCTTTGACTACAGTTTATTGTTCTCAAGCATCGTCTCTGGCCAATCCCCTGTTTATGCCTGAGCAATACTTACCATAGTCCATGCTTAATCCAGATTGTCTCGGATTTATGTAGTTGTTTTCTGAATTACCTTCTTCTTTTACAAAAGAAGGCCTTGGTGCCACATTTTGCAGAGGAGGACCAGAAGGACATATAATGCTCTGTTGACAGATGAAGTAGAGGGCTTTTTCCTCTGTTTGGATAAAGGATGAAGGGAAGCTTTTATGGTTTGAGGGGCAAACAACTCTCTCTTGTGCTCATTACTATTGTCTGCATGAGCATTCTCGTGTGGGCGTGGGAGAAAAATCCGCTCCGCACGTCCTTTGTCCGTCCTCAGAACATATGGTTGCCCCGAACTTCAGGTTTTGCCTCCGAAGACTTAGTATATACGGTTCTCTTTCAGCTTTTATGTTGTTAGGTTTTTATAATTATGAGATGCATATCCATATTCCTTTGAGAGAGCTGCACAAAGAGAGTGAATCCAATCTGTTGCATGTGTCGGATTTCGTTCAAGGAGATCTATCGGTTGTGCAGTAATTAAACTTTGGAGTCTCACCTATACCCAAAGAAACTGGAGAAGTACAAAAGCTTATGCTTGTAACTTGTAAGAGTGATGCTGTGTTTCTCTAGACATCATCAAGAAAATTAAGCACTTTAACAAAAACAACATAGCCAACGAGGAATTTAATGTATAGTGGTTAGTTCCCGACTCACGTTGTCCTAATGTGTTCTTTATACTGCTTTACGTTTGGCACAGATATACAAACAGAAGCCCATTTAGAGACTGCAGTCAGGTCTCAACCACCTGAATCTAGTGGCAAAGATGAATCCTCTATTGCAGAGGAAGTGACGATAAAGGATTTAAATAAGGGACAGTTTGACGTAGCCCCTTCAATGGGCTCGCCTTGGATGACTGATGTCGGTGCAAATTTGACGAGCCGTGTGGAGGAAAAAGGTAAGGTACTGCTTCCGCTTGATAGCTGAAACATGTATGTCAGTTACTGAGATACTTCTTGTAAATTTAAACGTGTCTCCTTTTCGAAATATACGCTGTGCGGTAGATTGTTTCTTCCAGTTGTGCTGCTTTTGTTTACCAATTGTGGTCACAGTATAAAATTGTCATGAGCATAATAGCATGACCAAGGTATTTGTTACACTCAAGACCTGCTTGCTTGAGGTAATGCAGAAACTGCTACTATTTTTGCAGAAGAATTGGCAAAAGGGATAGAAAGCGTGGAATCTAAAAGGAATGAAACTGCTGAAGTTTCCTTCAGTGTCACTGAATCCAGAGGAAAGGAGGAACATGATTCAGGAGTAGATAATTCAAAACAAGAAGAAAGAATCGATTTTCAAGTGCCTCCTGGTTCTGAACATTTTAATGCTACACTTCCAGGCGAAAACAATGAGAAACCACCCATTCTAGAGAAGAATCAAGGTAAGAACTCTCTTCTTTCTGATTTTATTCTGTTATGCTTTGTGGAATCCCTTGTTTCTAGTCATAGAATACTTGATAGAGGAAATAAAAAACATCTTTTTTGGAAATGTATGCAGCGGTATGTGTATTTGTACTTAATTGAGTCAAAAGCTCATTACTTAAAAATATTCTGGACTGAGAAGATGGACGAAAGGACAAAGTGGTAGCATGGACTCTGAGTACATAGTAGCTGTCCTTGTCATGTATGACAATTCTGTTGTTGTTGTTGTTGTTGTTGGTTCTTGAAACCAATTCAAATAGTAAGAAAATTATTTTGACTTGTCCAGGAACTCTGGTTGTGATCAGTTTAATGGTACAAGGATTTTTTCTCTCTGACTAGGTTTAGTTGGTGAGTTATCATGAGGAGCTTGTGATAGGAATTCTAATTTGCCACTTGGATGAATCCTTTAGTACGTGGTAACAATTTAGTATCTGCAGAAATTTACTTGTGGATCGATGTTAGTTTCAATGTGCAAGGGAAGAATCCTTGCAAGTTGTATGCATTATTTATAATTATTGGTTCTGTGGAAGTCCCATTGATGCAATCCTCATTTGTGGTCAAATAGTCAACATGCTCTCAAGTCCTCAGTTGATTTTATCTCTCACTTCATGCATGTTATGGAGGTAGCTATTGCTAACTATATGACCTCTGACCTTTCAGCAGCCTGTAACTTTGCCAAAGGAAAATGGGTTGTAGATGATCGAAGGCCTTTATACTCCGGCTTTAGTTGTAAGCGATGGCTTTCAGGAATGTGGGCTTGCCGGTTGACGCAGCGCATGAATTTCGACTATGAGATGCTTAAATGGCAACCTAAAGATTGCCAGATTGAAGAGTTTGAAGGTTCTAAGTTCCTGAAAAGGTACTCTCGTTCGGGCCATAACTCTGTAACTGAACTTTGTCAGTTGTCTTTCTCAAAGTAAGGTCATTGCATGATCAAAAAATTGCAGTCAGCTCTTGTGACAAGGGTCATAGCTATTCTTGACCTCACTGGTGATTGAGCTCGACATACCCTTTTTGAACAATGTTGTCAGTTCTCATCTTTGGGGTTGAGCTGGAGTAGTTTATTGATCACGGTATGAAGGGCTCTATTCTGACCATGTTTTTTTGGATTTGTCTTTTCCTGATCATCATTCAATGCCCCAGAAAGTTTTTTTTTTTTCCTTTCACGAAGTATAGGAGAAAGAAAGACTCTCAGCACAGTAGAATTTGATGCATGTTTATCGTATGGAGCAAGAATCATGCCTTGTGACTCTCCTGTTGTGTCATATATCATTGACTTCACTGGACTTCATTGCCGGTTTCCGGTTTATGTTCCTGTTAGGATGCAAGACAAGACCTTGGCCTTTGTTGGAGATTCACTGGGTCGGCAGCAATTTCAGTCACTAATGTGCATGATCACTGGTGGTAAGGATAGGCTTGATGTCTTAGATGTTGGAAGAGAGTATGGACTGGTGAAAGCAAAAGGTGCAATCCGCCCTGATGGGTGGGTTTACCGATTCCCAAGCACCAACACCACTGTCCTCTACTATTGGTCCGCAAGCTTGTGTGATCTAGAACCACTGAACGTAACAAATCCAGCAACTGAATATGCCATGCACCTAGATCGGCCACCAGCATTTTTGCAAAGGTTTATACAGAGATTTGATGTTCTAGTTCTTAACACCGGCCATCACTGGAACCGAGGTAAGCTCAACGCCAATCGATGGATAATGTATGTGGGTGGTGCACGCAACACCAACAAGAAGATTGCGGAAATTGCCCGTGCGAAGGACTTCACCATCCACAGCATTGTGAGTTGGGTGAACTCACAACTCCCGAAATACCCCCATCTTAAGGCGTTCTACCGGAGCATCTCTCCTAGGCATTTTGTGAATGGGGATTGGAACACGGGAGGGAGTTGCGACAACGAAATTGCCATGTCTATAGGCAAGGAAGTGTTACAGGATGAATCAAGCGATGTTAATGCGGAGAGTGCAGTAAGGGGGACAAAAGTTCGGCTTTTGGACATAACAGCACCGTCGCAGGTTAGAGATGAAGGTCACATTTCCCGATTCAGCATTAAGGGCACACGAGGAGTGCAAGATTGCTTGCACTGGTGTCTGCCCGGCGTTCCCGACACATGGAATGAACTTCTTTTTGCTCAAATTTAGACAGGAAATTTTACACTTTATACACCCTTCTGGAGAAGCCACTGCGACGCCTTCACTGCGACGCCTTCAATCTTGTGCTGATGCATCCCCTTTGAACAGCCACAGGAGGTAGCACAACTTTTCTCAAGAGGATTGACATTACAAGACCCTGTTTCTCAATACCGAATGGTTCCTGTATTGTGCTACAACGAAGACAAATGACAGTGGAGCAACGGTCGGGGGCAGGAAGAAGATTGATTTTTGGTTTTGTTTAGTTTTGTACCTTAAGATCCTCCAGTTTAAATTGGCGTCTGTTCATTTGTTGAAATTATGTAGTGAGAGATAAGTTCTTTGAGGAATATACCTATTTTAGGGGGTCAAAGCAGAACCAGATGGCATGTACTGGTTATATTCTTTTTTCATTTGTGTTGGAATGTGTTACTTGCTAGCTGTAGAGTCAGCTGTCATAGCTTCTTCTTCTTTTTTTTTGCTAAAAAGTTAGCTATCATAGCTATTAATTAGTATTAGTTGTCATCTTATTAATTAGTATTAGGTGTCATTTTGCTATCAGCTATTTATTAGCTTCCAACCACCTATTAAATATGCTTTATCTCTAACTGGGTTTTTGATGTATATAAATAGAGACTTATTGTAGCAATATAAAATAATTAATACATTCGTCAGTATTTTTTCTTCAACACGGTATCAGAGCCCGAAGGTCCTTTATCTATTTACCTCGGGTGATTTTTTTTTTCTGGTTTTTCCCTTTGATTGTTTGATCACTATATCAGACGAATCATCAACCACCCAGTCTAACCCTCCATCACTTCTCACAAAGTCCACCGAACCTCGTTCTATTCATATCACTTCTATAAAGCTGAATGGAGATAATTTTCTTCGGTAATCTCAATCCGTTCGAATGTATGTACGGGCAGGGGAAAGATTGGCTATCTAACTGGAGATATCGCAGAACCCAAGACAAATGACCGCACTTGGGCTGTCTAGGATGCGGAGAATTCAACGATTATGACGTGGCTGACCAACTCCGTGGAAGAAGATATTGGTGCAAACTATCTGGGCTATCATACTGCCAAGGAACTCTGGGATGCTGTGTGTGAAATGTATTCAGATTTAGGTAATTATTCTCAAATCTACGAGTTAACCTTGAAATTGGGGAAGATGCGGCAACGAGAGGAAACTGTCACAAAATACTTTCATTCTTTGAAATGTTTGTGGCAGGAACTGGATTTATTCAATGACCCTGAGTGGACGTGTATTGAAGATGGTAATTGGTACAGGAAAATTGCAGAAGCAGAACGTATCTACGCTTTCCTGGCAGGGCTTCGAGATGAGTTTGATGAGGTACGCAGCAGAATATTTGGGAAGCAGCCTCTTCCACCTATTAGAGAGGTCTTCTCCGAGGTTCAGAGAGAAGAAAGCAAACGAGGAATAATACTAGGCAAGGCAGCTATCGGCAGAAAGGACGGATAACTAGACGGTTCAGTCTTGGCTACCTTCGAAGACAAGAAGAGCCATGTTCCTGCAACAATAATCTCCGAGGCAAATGTAAGTAAAATCCCTGCTAACTTGCGAAGATCATATGGGAAACCCCGTATTTGGTGTGATGTCTGCAACAAACCCCGTCATACACGGGACACCTGTTGGAGGATTCATGGCCGACCAGCTTTGTTTAGCCATGATAATAAGCCATCTCAGCGTGTGCCTCCTACAGCTAATGAGGCCATCGCTTTCCCTTTCAGCAAAGAACAACTAGATCATCTTCTATAGCTACTTCAAGCTGGGTCCGTATCGGGTAATCCTACTGCTTCGATTGCCCACCATGGTAGAAATCTAAACGCCCTTTCCTGTTGTTCGCAACCTGTACCTTGGATCATTGATTCAGGGGCATCTGACCATATGACTAATATTCCATATTTGTTCTCATCCTATATTCCTTGTCCTGACAACCAAAAAATTCGGATTGCCGATGGGAGTTTTTCGTCTATTGCAGGCAAAGGATCAGTTCCACTTTCTAATTCTATTACACTTCATAATGTACTGCATGTTCCTAAGTTAGCTTGTAACCTATTGTCTGTTAGTAAACTTTCTAAAGAGTCTAACTATTGTGTTGTCTTTTTTGCTTCTCATTTTGAGTTTTAGGATCGGATCTTGAGGAAGACGATTGGCAATGCTAGGATGAGGGATGGTCTCTACTATTTTGAAGAGTTTGTCTTTGATAAAAAAGTTCAGGCGTATGGAACTTTCAGTTCTTCCTTTGTTCAAGAAAAAATAATGGTTTGGCACCATAGATTAGGTAATCCTAGCTTTGGATACTTGAAACATTTGTTTCCTCATTTGTTCAAAGGTGTGGATGTTTCTTTACTACACCGTGACAATTTTCTTTTTTCTAAAAGTCATCGTACTCATTATAGTCCAAAACAGTATCGTGCATCATCACCATTTTATTTAATCCATAATGATGTTTGGGGTCATTCACCCATGCCAACAAAAACTGGGAAACGATGGTTTGTCACCTTTATAGATGATCATACCCGTTTATGTTGGACATACTTGATGAGTGTCAAGTCTGAAGTCGAGTCCCTGTTCAAAACTTTTTATCAAATGGTTGTGACCCAGTTCCGCACTTCTATTAATATCCTTCATACCGATAATGGTACTGAATATTATAACCAGTTTTTGGGGAGTTTTTTGAAAGAAAAATGCATCTTTCACCAATCAAGTTACCGAATTACACCCCAACACAATGGCATTGCCGAACGCAAAAATCGCCATCTCCTTGAAGTATCCTGTGCCCTTAGTTTTTCAATGCATGTACTTAAATACTTATGGGGGGAAGCTGTGTTAATAGCATCTTCTCTAATTAATAGGCTGCCTACTCGGGTATTAAACTACACTACTCCTTTAGATTATTTCAAACAAGTGTACTCCACAGCCCATATTTTTTCTGATATTCCTCTAAGGGTGTTTGGTTGCACTGCATTTGTCCACCTCCCAAGTTAGTGTCGATCCAAATTAAATCATCGGGTTGAAAAGTGTGTGTTTATGGGGTATGCACCTAACCAAAGAGGTTACAAGTGTTACAATCCACATACCGGCAAAACTCATATCACTATGGATGTCACCTCTATAGACTTATAACCGTTTTTTTTTCAACAAATCTCTTCAGGGGGAGAATGCCGAAGTTAGTGAAGAGATTTTGTGGCACTCAAACTCTCCTGTCTTTCCCACTCCTTTGTTTGAGTCTTCGGAAACACCTTTGCCGAATCTTGATGTGTCAAAGATAAGGGGAGAAAAAGTTCAAGATCACAATGTGATCAACAAGCCCGAGCTTCAGGTTTATACTAGAAGAAAAACTCTTCAAAGGGTTGCAGATCATAACTTTGTCCTGGAGCCTTATCTGTCTACCGCCCCGGGAAATGATCTCTTGCCTTCGTCGTTAGGTGATCCTAGTAGTACTTTTTTTTCCCTCCATTCCAGTCTCAAATTCTAATACTTCTAATCTTGATATGCCTATAGCTCTTAGAAAAGGGGTTAGATCATGTACTCAGCATCATATATCAAAGCATGTGTCATACCAAAAGTTGTCTCATTATCATATAGCGTTTGTGTCAAACCTGTCTCACATATCCATTCCTAGAAATATCCAGGAAGCTTTGAAGGATTCAAAGTGAAAGATAGCTGTTGAGGATGAAATGCGAGCACTTATGAAGAATGACACCTGGGAATTGGTTGATGCACCAGAAGGAAAAAAGATTGTTGGCTGTAAATGGGTATTTACTGTAAAATGTAAACCTGATAGGAGTGTTGAGCGACATAAAGCAAGGCTAGTGGCGAAGGGGTTCACTCAGACTTATGGAATTGACTATCAGGAGACTTTTGCCTTAGTTGCCAAGATAAATTCTGTTCGGATTTTACTATCTTTGGCTGCTATTTTTTATTGGCCCTTGCACCAGTTAGACGTGAAGAATGCGCTCTTGAATGGTGACTTGGAGGAGAAAGTGTTTATGAGTTTGCCACCAGGTTTTGCAGAAAATGAAGGCAAAGTCTGCAAATTGAAGAAGTCGTTGTACGAACTTAAACAATCTCCAAGAGCGTGGTTTGAACGGTTCGGGAAGGTGGTTAAAAGGTTTGGCTATCATCAAAGTCAAGGGGATCACACTCTATTCTATAAACACTCAAAGGAAGGTAAGCGAGGTAAGCGTGCCATTCTAATTGTCTATGTTGATAATATAATACTGACTAGTGATGACAAAGTTGAGTTGGAAAGCTTGCGAGAAAAGCTGGCTGAGGAGTTTGAGGTTAAGGATTTGGGTGTCTTGAAATATTTCCTTGGAATAGAATTTGCGAGATCCAAGAAAGGCATATTTGTAAACCAACGCAAATATGTGCTTGATCTGCTCAAAGAGACAAGTTTATTAGGATGTAAAGCGACGGAGACACCCGTGAAGCCAAATCTGAAACTTGAACCAACTAAGGCTGAAGAAGTGATAGATCAAGAAAGGTATCAAAGGCTTGTCGATCGACTTATTTATTTATCTCACACTCAACCTGACATAGCATTTGCTGTAAGTATGGTGAGCCAGTTCATGCACTCACCAAGGCCAAGGCATTTTGAAGCAGTATATAGAATTCTATGCTACCTGAAGGGAAGTCCTAGTAAGGGTCTAATGTTTAAGAAACATGGACATCTGGAAATTGAGGTGTTCACCGATGCAGATTGGGCTGGAAGCATTATGGATAGGAGATCTACTTCAGGCTATTGCATGTTTGTTGGTGGAAACTTAGTCACTTGGAAGAGTAAAAAGCAGAGTGCGGTGGCAAGAAGCAGTGTCGAAGTTGAGTTTCGGTCAGTAGCACATGGTGTCTGCGAAGTTATGTGGATTAAAGGTATCTTGGATGAACTACGGATCCCGAGTTCCACACCAATGAAAGTGTATTGCGATAATAAGGCCGCAATCGCAATTGCTCATAATCCCGTATTACATGACAAACAAAGCATGTGGAAGTTGATAAACACTTCATCAAAGAAAAACTTGATAGCGGGCTGATCTGTATGCCGTATATTTCAAGTGATGAACAAGTTGCTAACATTCTGACCAAGGGACCGTATAGAAGGTAATTTGTCCGTCTAGTGAGCAAGCTGTCTATGGAAGATGTCTTCAAGCCAGCTTGAGGGGGAGTGTTGGAATGTGTAACTTGCTAGCTGTTGAGTTATCTGTCATAGCTATTAATTAGTATTAGTTGTCATCCTGCTATCAGCTATCTATTAGCTTCCAACCACCTATTAAACATGTTTTATCTTTAACTGGGTTTCTGATATATATAAATAGAAACTTATTGTAACAATAGAAAATAACTAATACATTGGTCAGTATTTTTTTGTTGAACAATTTGGTCTGTATTGAATATATTAAAGCATCTGTGATCTGTCCCCTCCGTGCACAGCAAATAATACCATCTACACCTTGGGGCACTTCCACACACCTTGAGAAATATACCTTTTCTAGGGGGTCAAAGCAGAACCAGATGGCATGTACTGGCTATATTCTATTTTCATTTCGTCTGTATTGAATATATTCAAGCATCTGTGATCTGTCCCCTGTGCACAGCATATAATACCATCTACACCTTGGGGCACTTCCACACATTACCGAGGACCCATTCCTTGGTGATTGATGAACGTTGGATCACAAAAGAACAAATCTCGGTCAATCTTTGAAAATTTTGGAGTATTTGTGAGGTACGACATCTGTGAAGGATCCAAAAAAATGCTTTAGGATCTGACGTTCGTAGAATAGTGAATTGATCCCTCGAGGGACTATAATAACTCCCCTACACTTTGAAACATGGTTGTCTAGTCAATGCGCTCTCCCTTCCTTTTTTGCAGATTACAGTGGCGGGACATGGACATGGAAAAGATTCTTTATGTTGCTCCCGATCCGCATGGTCGGCTTCATATAAATCGATTTTAGCGTCCTAGAATTCAGACATGTTCATTAGCTCAAAAACCAGCGGCAGCTTGTGGTACCCTCTCGTAGGAAATCGAAAAGACCTAGCATCGAATGGCGCAAAACAGAAAAGACCAGCATACAAGCAGCGTTTACTTGCTCAATTCAAAATCAAGACAACACATTTCAAGAATTAACAAGTCAAAAACTGCTCTCTGGCACGTCCTGCTGTAGCGCACGATCAATCCTTTCCTTTGACTACTCTCTCTTCTATGCTTACAACAGTTTCCCTCTCCGTGCCTTCGAGTTCAACGCGTTCCTTGGCCTCTACCTCTTCCACTTGTTCATCCTTTTCATCTGACTCCTGTGATCTTTGGTGAATTGTCTCCTGGATCTTTGCCACCCCCTTTTCGACTGGTTCTATTGCTTGATTTATTGTCAGCACAACATCCTTCACCACCTGTTTTAAGGACACAAAAACAAGATTTCACACAGATGGATAAAGCAAGACACAAGACATTGATCAAGTGAAACCAAGCCAATTTCTTGGGACAATAATTGCGTAAAAAACAAGATTTCACAACTTGTGGGATGCAAGCTTACGCGTTGACCACCTTCGACAATAATGTCCTGGACGCTCTCGGAGATGCTAGTACCCGGGACCTCCACCTTCGTGTCAGTCTTCTCGACCATGGCCGGTTTCTCTTTATCACCCTCTTCCAACTTTACTTTGGCGACTGTCTTTTCTGTGGTGACTTTTGGGCTTTCGGTGATTGGGATGTAACGGTAGGGCTCCACCGAAAGGACAAAAACATGGGCAACAGCTGCAATTGCCATCTGTCAACGGTTTACATCAATTCATATCCTTGCAAGCTCAGAACAACCAACCATATACAACATGCCGGTCTACCCAGGCACGGAAAATGATATACATGAACTCTGGTTGTCTTTGTAGCAAGTGTTGGGTATGTACAACAATACCCGTGAAGACAATATTGAATCAATGGTCAAAAGCAAACACAATTCAAGTGTGCAGGTGGCTAGTGCTTTGGCTGTTGGTAACTCTTCTCTGGCTGAATAAAGCTTGCACTTACTTCTATGCAGATAAGAAAATCCTGCAATCCAGTTTGCAGCTTTCCTTCCTTAGGCAGAACATGAAAGGTACATAGAAGTGCAATCCCCACGCCTTGCCACCAAGTGGCGAATACAATAGCCTTGAAGCTGATGAACTTAGCCAGTGGCTTTATCGATTTTATTCTCTCGTGAGTTGCGTTATAGAACTGAACAAGGCAAAATAATGCCCACATCTGGCTAAAGTTCAGTACCACCGCTATGTATGGATACCTGCAAGAGAGGACAAGGATGACAGGGATGTGTGGCAACCGAATATACTATAAAGTGAAAAAACCTTCTTAATACCCATAATTCCATTTGAATTCGCCGTCACCATAGACACCAAGGAGCTCCAAAATAAGTGCTAAAAATGCACATACTGTCTTCAGAATCATCTGGACAACATCAAACATGTTAGGAACTGTAGTAATAAGTCTAACTGTGATGGTTCAAATGAGTTACTCACATACTGCACGAGACCAAATTTCTCAATGATGAGCAGATCTTCTCCAAGAACACATGGTTGAAAGATGAAGTTCCAAACTCTGCTTCCTATTTTCTTTGGACTTGTGTTTGTGTGGTTCAGGAGTGGCTTTTGGAGCAATTTCCTTGATTCATCTTCAAGTAGCTCGATCACGTTTCTCTCACCACCTAGCATGAAAACTAACGCATGAGCTTATGCAGTAAAACTTGTCTTCATTGGCATATATTCAGACTGCTGAAAAAAAACTCCAGCAAGAAAATGATTGAATTGCACTAACGGGTCTAGATGATATGAGAAAACTTTTTCCAAGTTTAAGTGCATCTACAGTAGCCTACCCAGACAGGCAATCAAGTATCTTCCAAAAGAATACAAAGCGAATGCTTCATAGCAGTTTCTCAATATGTCACAAGCGAGAGACAATTTTGGGTTCCACAATGATATTATCTGCCAAAGAAAAACAAACAGTTTAGACTGGATCAATGTCATTGATTCACAAATCAAGCCATAAACACATGGCTGAAGCAGGGTATCGCAACATCTCTCCTCCTTTTTCCTTTTAAATTAAAGGAACCATGTATAGAATTCAAGATATAATCTTTCTTAAAGTTTTTCTTATTGAAATACAATGCAGGTTGGCATATTAAGTGGAACAAAATTAATTTTGGGTGATGCAAGGAAACTGGAAACTGTTAAGGAGAAGAACTGCTGTTCAGATATCACTCGATCGACTCTAGGGGAGAAAGACATAAAAATAAGTCTTCGAAGACAGAACTTACTGATTCAATTGCATAGACTGGAACCATGAAAAGTACTGCAACTACCCACTTTTGTTCCTAAAATTGGATCAAAGCAAGATAATTTAGCAAATATTAATCTCGTCACTAAAGCATGAAAAGTCTTTCTATCATTCTAGAGAACCAGTTGGCCCCAATGATTAAGCTAACCATCAGAACATTAGTAGGAAGTCTGGCTGCATGTTTCTGATATCATTTCGACAATACCACATAAAGAATATCAAGGTATGCATGGATGATACCTGATTAGTTCCGTCCATCCATATCACTGATATAAAGGAGGAGAACTTACAGCAGGATTGGTGTAGTACTTGAGATGCTGAAACACGAGAAAAAGCGACAGGGCCAATGCTACAAGTACGAAGCATGCTGCGATGATGACCGCTGGTTTATGGAGGTTGCTGTAAATGGCACCCAAGGCCAAGGAATATGTCGATTCCATCTTTTGGACATCTTCCGACTTCCAACTTTAAAGAGAAATCAATGAGTGCACTCTTAACCTATTTCATGACGAGATTATACATGAAAATTTCATTTTGAAGAAAAAGCATTTTCACAGATGGCTAGTAAATCATGACATGCTTGCTTGAGAGTTACTAGTACATAAACCGAATTCTCATACACACGCATCTGTCTAGCTATAGTATTCTTTAAAGGAGAGATTCCTCTATCGTCTCTCAACTCAAAAAAGAACTAGACATGTTCTTTGCTTCGTTTGTTCAATATTTCAAACTTTAATTGGCCTCTCCGACCCAATCCGGCGTAAATGGCACGTTTAGTGCGCATTCGATATAGTCTCATTTAATGAAGAACGCGGAGAATTCTCCACGATCGCCTGACCATATAAAACTCCAAGTAATCCATTCGGAGTTGTCTATTTTCCCTCAGTAAAACTCATTAAAATTGCCTGTGAAGACCAAAAAAATGAGCGAAACTACGTTGCATCATATTAGCTTGCATCACGGAATCCAGAAACACTTTTTTGGACGTGGGGTTGCACTCACTTGGTGCGCTTGTGATTTTCAAAACGGCAAGAACTGTAAAGAAACTAGAAAATCATGAGAACGTCATCAGGAAAAAAGAAAAAAGAGACATGTTTGCACTTCATTTAAGGAAAGAGAAAACCAGAAAGAACCTTTAAAGAATGATGATTTCGGTGAAGCAGCGTCCAGATGAGTGTCGAACTCCTGAAGAGAATGCGCCATTGATGACCGTGAATGAGAGGGTTTGGAGCGTGCAGAAGAAGACGAAGGTGAAGAAAGAGGCCAAAGTGGCAAAGTGAGTGTTACAGTGGCTTATGGTGAATTGGACATATGGCGTTGACACGTTCTCAAAGTTCAGTTTTCGTTGCGTTTGTGCAGTTGACACGTCGGTTTTCGAGAATACGATGAGTTTTTCTTTATTTGATAATATACAATCAAAAACTTTTTTTTATGTTTTTTTTGGTAAGGAACTTTTTTTATGTTTGGATCTCATTACCTCATTTATCTAGAGCATAAGAAAATCAATTTTTTAAATTATTTTTATTTTTATTTTTTAAAAAAATTGAATTTTTAGTTATTTTTATTTTTCTCTTTTGTCTTTTTTTTTCTTTTATTTTATTTTATAAAAATTCGAATTTTTAATTTTTAAAATTTTCCTATTTTTTTCTTTTTGCTTTTTTGTTTTCTTTCCTTTTCTTTTTCCTCATTTCTTCGCCGCGACCGGTGACGGCCACAGGCAAGCTCGAGCTCGAGCTCACCGACCTTGAGTGAGGTTCGAGCTCGCCGGGATTAGGCAAGCCTCGAGCAAGCTCAAGGCCAGGTTGCAAGGCAATAAGGTCGAGGCGTGAGCTTGCCAGACATGGCGAGGTCAGGCCTCGCAGCTCAAGCTCCCCAGATCCCGGCGAGGCTCGACCTCGCCGACCAAGGCCTATAGTCTGTTGCCGGCTGTCGTCGAGGCCGGCGACCAGCAAAGGAGGGAGAAGGAAAAAGAAAAAGAAAAAGAAAATAAAAAAGGAAATATTAAAATATTAAAAAAAATCGAAAGGAGTAATTACGGAAAATGTTTTCACCTCTTTAGATTTAGGAATTCGATTTCCTAAATTTATGCATGAATATTTTCGTGTACTGAAAAGTGTTTTAAGTCGACTAGTCATTTACCGCGAATCAAATGAGTGAAAGTCCGAAGTACATTTTTCCCCAAACAAACACACCCTTACATGACCCAGAAGAGAGATATATCCAAAATAATTACTTAACTATTAGTCTCAAAAACTCTGATTTCGTTTCATTAATTAGATAGTAGGATTAAATGAATTGCGGATTTTGGATGTCCGAAGGCAAGATTGGACAATCGGCCAAGACTCACCGGATGCTCGACCATGGACATGGCCAGCAAGAGCGAGCAACTTCAAGTGTCCGACTATGGCTAGATGTCTAAACTAGACCGAATTTCCCTGAGAAGATTTCAGATGTCCGAACGCGCACGGCAGTTAACTAAATGTGTGTTTTTTTACCTAATTTTGCACTAACGTCAAGCCTAACTCAAGAGAAAGCTTGGGGAGCCGTCGAGGAATGTGAGTGCGAGGGTAAACACTTTGCATCTCTTTGATTTGACTTTTTGAGGCCTTTCGAGTGTAATTGGAAATTGAAAAACATTTAAGAGTTGTGTGTTTCAAGAGAGTGTAATTTTCTGTTGTTGATTATAGTAAAACATCTCGCTGATCTCTCCTTATGGAGTAAACACACCTATCTAAACAATTAAAATCGTTCGTGTCAAATTTATTTTCTACAACAGTTTCTCGTTTGATTGTGCTTGTTTTACGCTTCCACCAATTTGCATAGCAAACTCATATGAGAGTTTTAGGTTATCAATGACATTGATTGTTCTGGGAATATCTATCTGCAATTTCGCTACCCCTTCTTTGAAATTCAAGTTCGAGAAATTTACTAGTGAAAATAGTTTTAATGTGAGGCGCATTAAGAAGTAGGTCCTGACGTTAGGATTCGCCATACAACCACAAAGAAATAGAGAGTAAAAAAGCGATAAAGAGAATTTGAGACGCAAGATTTTTATCCTGGTTCACCTTAAACTAGAGCTACATCCAGTAGAAGATTCCACTATAATTAGCACATCGCACCTCTCTGTTACATCTTTCAATTACAAGAGAAATAATATATATATATATAGGCAATAGTTTGATTCAAAATAGGAAACTTCTTTCTAGAAAACCTATTTAAAATAGGAAACTTAATTGAATTAGAAAATTTTCCTTTTTTGGGGTCAGACTATAAAAGCCCTCTAGTGGCTCGGGACCACTGCTCCCGCAGCCCTCGCCCACTCACGGGGCAGTGGGACTCCCGTGCCTTTCTATCGATAAAGAGTATGAACTAAATCCCAACAGGTTCGGTAAGGCCCACCCATATAAGTTTCCTAGAAATATCATTGGTTTGAGTAGGGCAGATGGGAGTACAAGTGGCGATCTCTCCTGCGGGAAGCCTAACCTTGTGGACCTAGACTGAGAAATTTGGGCAAAAGGACACTATTGGTGCCATAACTTGTGTACGGAGATCACTTTGGTGCCATAACTTTTTTTCGGATCACTTTGGTGCCAACTTTTTTGAAAAACGATCACTTTAATGCCAATGCTGACATGGCCGCCGGAAATCTGACGTGGCTCTTTTTTTATTAATTTCCGATGCTAACATGGCTCACCGGAAATCTGACATGGCTCGCCGGAAATCTGACGTGGCTCTTTTTTTGGCCGGAATTTTGGCCGGAGTCACTAAAGTGATCTTTTTTCTCCGATTTTGGCACCAAAGTGATCCGAAAAAAAGTTATGGCACCAAAGTGATCTCCGTACACAAGTTATGACACCAATAGTGTCCTTTTGCCGAGAAATTTGTACACGAACTCTTTAACTGATTTTTGCATTCTAATTTCTTTAATTCTTCTAATTCTTTATTTTTTTTTTGGTGAAAACACGTGTGCCGATGACTTGAAAAATAATGGACGATCACCTGCTCTTAAATTTCATTTCTTGATCACCTCCAATCCAATCAAATGTAATTTCTTATTTCAGCATAGACTGTTAAAAAGCATAATCTCTTCCATTAATTATCCAACAAACACTAAAAATTAAGTTTTATTAACTAGAACACCAAATCCATATAAAAACTAACGAAAAAATTTATATTAGATAATATCAATGCCAAATAAATAAGTGCACAAGAGAATCATTCGATGCATCAAAAACTTGAAAAAAAAGGGACAAGCATTGTATGAACAAAATCTCATGGAACCCGACTTCTTCGGCGTGTTTATCATGAAAATCGTAGGCATCTTGTTCACTTTCAAACACAATGCCAACCGTCGGTACAACCTCTGTGACCTGAAAATTTAAAATGGTCAAACTCAACTCATCTGAATCAAATTTTGAAAATGTATCAATGAAAAATGAGAGGCGAATCAAGAACATTCTACATAGTTGTTGTAGATGGTAAAAATTTAAAAGGAAACACAAATTTGAAAATTCACGAAAAGATAGCAGTACTGGTGGCTTGGAAAAGAAGACAAAGTCTAAAACCCTTCTACTTTATTTATTTATTTGTTTGGTGGTCGGAACCTTCTACTTCTGTTTATTGACTTGTTTCCTTGTTATTGAGATATTGGGCCATTAGAGAAAGCTTAAAACACAAGGCCTAAAATATTCATTAGAGCCGACATATTTGTCACGAGCGCAGCACATATCCGCATTAATGCCCAACAATTTTCTTTACTAATCCAAGATAACCTTTAGCTGTCGCTCGTGACCGATTTGTATGTACTGATTTGTATGCTGCGTGGCTTGGTATGGATGTAGCTTCTACAATGCATAGAATACGTCTTTTAGCCTAATGTAGTAATCCGTTATTGGTAACAATAACAAGTGTGTTTAAAAGTTATGTCTGTGATGATTTATACGTAGCTCGGTTTCTGGATCCGACATTGGTTGTGTGTGCTTATAAGTATTGCAGAAGCAAGTGATCGAACATTAAAATAAACGAAATAAGAAAATAAATAGGACACCGGATTTATAGGATTCGGTCGTAGTGATTTACGTCCACGCGAAAAGTAGCAATGAATTCTACTATAAATCAAGCGATATGATAGAGATTACAACCACACTCAAGTCATTCAAGCACTTTCAATATTTCCCAGTCTCCAATTACACCTATCTTTTATTTCTCTTTATTCTTTCTCTGACCCCTGTTGACCCAGACAAAAACCAACTCAAAGTCCATTGTTGGACTTTCCAGCTCGAGAGCGATGAATCCGCCGTCGAAACAATCTTTATTCTTGATTGCCACTTCAACACGATACAATTTTCGTATTCAGCTTTGCTCGATTTCTAACTTTTCTTTAATAAGTCTCGTGTTCGGTTTTGTTCACGGGTCTCAAACTTGAGACATGATTTCAACAATAAGCATGAGATTTAATTTTATATAAGGTTTCAGGAGTAGATGAATTGATGTTATTTCGTCTACTGGCATGCTTCATCCGTGGCTAATAGAGAGCCACCTTCTATGGATTGTTGGGTCAAAGAATTGGCTTGGTGGCATGACGGTCCCAATAGACATGTCCATGCTCTCCGAGGATCGGGCTTTCACATGAATTTTGAACTATCGAGGCTGGGTCCATTTAACAGACGATATCAAGTCGGGTTGGCCCGGACAAAACACTCTATTTGGACCCTATCCACTGGCCGTGAATATCTTCTGTGTGTCATGAAATTTCAGGTCCCTATTTTGATTTATGTATTTGTTGGGTGAACAGTAGCCACTAGCCACCATCGAGCCACATCCTAGTCTCGGTCAAATGACAACATCCAGTACGTATACAGTATATTCTCACTTTCTCCAATATCTTTTTTCCCTAGGCAAAAAAAAAAGAAAGAAAGAAAGAAAGAAAGAAAGAAGAAGAAACTTGGACAAGAACACACGAGAAGAAGATTGCGGCAAAAGAATTGGTGCTCATATTAGTGTTGCAGAGAATGTAGCTTCCCAATATGATCAACCAAAGAATCCCCACCGTGTTCACCAAGGAGTCACAGTAACTGAAATTTCAGCTACGACCACGACAATTTTGAACTTATGAATAATCCATTGCCTGCGTGATAGAGTGTGTGACCCAATGTTGGTACCGGTTCAATTTTAAGTATTCTAGTTGACAGACGTCTAATTTCTTTTTCCTTCCGACTAGCACCTTGATGACCTCTGCAAACATATGCCATATACTAGAGTCAACAGTACATGTTGACGAGGTTGTTTATCTATGGAGACATTTATAAAAGGCTGCGTATAATTCTAAGAAGATGGGACCTCGGTTCATTTTCAGGAAATGCAACTCAGAACGCGTGGGGTTGCACGTACCTTA